TTTTAAAGAAGAATCTGGGTTGGTGATTAGATAGTTGGGCATTAGAGATAATAAAACCTCTTTGTAGACAAGTGGGAGGTTAGGTTAAGCGTGGTATTGACAAGACTAAACCAATGGGATTTGGCATCTTGGGGGAGATGCAGGGAGTCTGGGGAAGATTTGATGAGGTAAACACATCACACGTAGCTAACTCATCATGGGGACTCCTAGCTTGAGGTACTATCAGCACCTCAGTACTCACTGGGAATCATAGGGCTAATGTCATGGTTTAAAAGAAAGTGCATAGAATGTAATGTGTATAGCTGGAGATATTTTTCCAGGACCAGGATAAGAAGGTCTTGTCTGATACAAAGGACATTTTGAAGCTTTGGTCTTGTACCTGCCGTAGACAAAGTGAAGTTATAGGCAATCAACTGTAAGCTCTTCAACGTATAAGCTTTATATTTTGTTGCCAAATTGCACTTAGGTGGTATCCACAGACTGTATGTTGCCTTTCTCTTTCCAAAGTCTGTATGTTGCCTTTCTCTTTCCTCTAGGACATTTAGATTTTTGAATTATGTGATGTGGGTGTGGTTCTCTCCCATTTCTAGAGGTACCCTTTTTAAGGTCCCAAAATTATTAGACTCTCTCCCAACAAAATGATAACTATCTTTATATCTTTTAGTATAATAAAAGGTGGCTATTATTTTAGTAATGTTTTTAAATCAGTTTGTCTTACTAGTCTCACCAGTGTCCAAATTCAGTTGAAATATAGTCTTCACATCCTTGAAATTTCTTACCAGACTGAACAGATTGCTTATACAGATTCCTTGTAATAGGACCTCTCAGAGGTTCAAAACCCATGGTTGTGAACTACTCATGTAAATTGGACTTAAATTGTGTGTCTAGAAAACTACCTACTCATGCATGGAAATCTGTAGGCTGCTTGAAATCAATTATATCGATATATTTTGGAAACCAAAATATAAGCATTTCAAATGTCTGTAGAACCAAGTCTTGAGATAAGCAGGATAAATGAATAAGTTCTTTAGCAGAGTTTTTGACTTACGATTGCTTTGTTTACTCTGCTTAGTTCAAGTCAGAATGAATGAATTTCTCAGTAAGTTTTGGTAGCAATTGTGTGTGCTTTATGCAGATATATGTACATGGGCTATAATTAGGACACCACAGTGCATGAAATGGCTATAATCAAGGCCTGTCTTGTGTGTGTAGGACTCCCAGTGGTTTCATTATGCTGAGTGATTTCAGAAGACTCTTTGAATAGTAAAGGAAACAAAAGATCTTTCCATGGATGTGAACCAAAAGTTGAGTTATAAATAAAAAACTAACCAACATCAAACACATAGTGGAAGATGTAAAGGAATGTGGTGTAGTGGAGAAAACCAGGCTTTGAAGTCAGAATTCAACTGGGGTCCTTAGAACGATCTTTTGAAACAGAAGATTGAGTAGGCAATGTCTTGATTACAGAAATAGCACCTCAAAACTTCATTTGTCTAAGGTCACAGAGCTGCTGTGTTGCAAAGCCAGGATTTAAATCCCTGCTTTAGACTCTGTGCCTTGTCTTTTTTTTTTTTTTTTTTACTTTGCCAAGGGTCACAGGTAAGGTCTCTTGTTTCATTTTTTTGTTGTTGCTTGCACTTTAGCTCCAGCCCAATTATTCATGTCCTTACATTCTACTACCAGGAATATCCTACCCCCTTATCTCTGGTGACTATAACAAGAGGCCATCTGTCCAAAGAGAACAATAAGAGGTATTGTGAGTTAGGAAAAAAGATGAGACTGCAAATACTAATATGGACATTTATTTAAAAAGTGGTGGACAGGTTAGGGTCAAGGAGCGTAGTTGATGTTGGACAGTTCTAAATCTGTGGTGCACCTAGTCTGCACAAATCTTCCTCCAGCAGTGCTGTGTGGATTCATGAGATTGGCGTTTCCTCATTTTCATGCCAAGTCGGTCACTGAGTCTGAATCTCTTCCTCTCTCATACCTACCTGTGCTTGTTCCCCTCTCTTCCTTTTACAGTGTTAAAAATAAAAATTTCTTCCAAAAAAAAATGGTGTTCTGATTTTGTTTGACTTGCTTGCTTGTTTTACTATGTTATGTGTGTGTGGAGAGGTGGTGGAGTGGTGAGAAAAGCTGTGCGGGTATATAAGAATACATACTTGTATTGTGTCATGCTTGAATGAGAAGTGTCTCACCGTCACTTTGGTTAAAGCCAGTCTTTTTATATACTGCTGACTGAGGTGAGGGAGGTAGGCCGGTTTGCTGTGACAGTGAGGAAGGAAGGCCAAGTAGACTCATCACCCCACCTTGTATTTCCCAGATTCTTGCATATTCCTCCTCTTAACCCCTGTGTTGTGTTCATTTATCCTCTGTATATTTTAATGTGAAAGATACCAAACTAAAGAGAATCAGATTTATCTTGCTGTAATTTTTTTCTTTTTTCTTCTGGCACGAGGCTTACAAAGCTGTAGAAAGAAAAAGGAGGGCTGTATTACTGTCTCATGACCTAGAATAACAACAGGTAAGGTCTGCTTCCATTTGATAATTTTCTGTTAAAGGGCTGCAGTAGGCAAGGGTAAGTGGTTCTGTTTCTGTGAATTGTTGTTGTTGTTAGGTGCTATCAAGTCGATACCGACTCATAGCAACCCTGTGCACAACAGAACAAAACACTACCTGGTCCCGCGTCAACCTCACAGTGGTTGCTACGCCTGAGCCTGTTGCTGCTACCACTGTGTCAGTCCATCTAGTTGGGGGTCTTCCTCTTTTTCTCCAACCCTCTACTTTACCAAACATGATATCCTTCTTCAGGGTCTGGTCCCTCCTGATAATATGTCTGAAATATGAGAGACAAAGTCTGGCCATCTGTCTTCCAAGAAATATTCTGGCTGTACTTCTTCCAACACTAGTCTGTTTGTTCTTTTGGCAGTCCATGGTACTTTATTAATTAATATTCTCCAACACCATAATTCAAATGCATCAATTCTTCTATGTTCTTCCTAATTCACTGTCCAACTTTCACATGCATCTGAGGTTATTGAAAATGCCTTGGCTTGGATCAAGAAGCAATCTCAGAATGGAGAGTGCTGTGAAGGAGGTAAGAGGAAGGTGCTTTACATAGAGGGTAATTACTGAGAACAAACTTTTTAAAAGAAGGACTGACTCATAACCATTATGCTGTCAGAGCTCTTTGTGGGTATTCTGAGGCATGCTTAAGTAAAATGCTACTAGGAATGCCAAGGGCAGGGAAAATCCTGCACAAGTTACTAATTAAACAAAAAGCATAATGGCAACTCATTAATTGTTGTGAACTTGGGCACCATTTAAACCTCTGTACCTGTTACCTCATGAGTAATCAAGGGATTTGAGAAAGATGAAACTGCTTCTGTAAAGATTCACAGTCTTGGGTACCCTGTGTCAGATTGCTGAGTTGGAATTGTCTTGAGGGCAGTGGGTAGTCAAGGGACACTTGCCTAAAAGAGTTTTATGAGATTTGAAAACTTTGAACATGCTATCAGGAAGGACCAGTCCCTGGAAATGGACATCACACTTGGTAAAGTGGAGGGTTAGTGAAAAAGAGGAAGACTCCCAGTGAGGTGGATTGGTACAGTGGCGGCAACAATGGGCTCAAGTTTAACAATTGTGAGAATGGTGCAGGACCAGGCAGTGTTTCATTCTATTGTGCATAAGGTCACTGACTGGAGTCATTCTGTTGTACATACGGTACTTGATGGCACCTAACAACCACAAAATGTAAAACATCTAATCCAGCAACTTATTTATAGACCAAGTTATAAGAGCTTACTATGTGTCTGATAGAATCCCTGGTGGAACAAAGTTTTAAGTGCTTGTTTGCTGGCCAAAATGTTGGAGGTTTGAACCCACTCAGTGCAGCCAGGGGCTCCATGAAAGAAAAGACCTGGTGATCATTTCCATGTTAAGATTGTTGTTGTTTTTAAATGTAGTCGAGTTGGTTCCGAATCACAGCGACCGTGTATAAGGTTTCCAAGGAGTGGTTGTTGAGTTTGAACTGCCAACCTTGTGGTTCAGACTGTGCAGTTCAGTGCTTTATCCCACAGTGCCACACCAGGACTGCAATGTTAGGATTACAACCTAGATAATGGTGTCACATACTACTGTTCCATGTTGACAGTGACTCAGTGGCACCTAACAACATGTACCCGAGACTTTCTTTTTGTTGGGGTGAACAAAGCAGAGCTACTGCATTTATGGAGCATGCATTCTAGTGGCACTTAAACTGGTAGTTGTGATTCTTCTGGTGGTGGTGGTGGTGTGCCGTGGAGTTCGTTCTGACTCATAGCGACCCTGTATAGAGTTTCCGAGGCTGTAAATCTTTACAGGAGCAGAAAGCCTCATCTTTCTCCCACAGAATGACTGGTAGTGTTTGAACTGCTGACCTTGAGGTTAGCAGCCCGACTCGTAACCACTACACTACTAGAGCTCCTTGTGAGTCTTCTGAGGCATGCTTAAATAAAATGCAAGTAGGAATGCCAAGGACAGGCAAAATCCTGCCCAAGTTACTAATTTTAAACAGAAACATGATGGCAAATCATTTCCCATTCCAATTTATCATCTAAGAGGGGAAAAGCCTGGTCAATACTGATAAATGGTGCTAAGAGGAATTGGCTACCATGTTTAATGTCCTCAATTTGGCTATCAGCCTTTGTTGAGGAGCTGCATGATTCAAAACCCACCTCCAGACCCAGTCGGTCCTGTGTATGGCCATGGTCATCTTCACAGCCAAAGACCTGTTGCATCAATATGTAGCCCTCTGTTCATCCAGAGAATGGAGACCTTTTCTAATCCACAGGCCTTTCCTCGCAGGTCTTACCCAGTGGAAAGTCTGACTCATGTATTTTTCTATAGACATTGTGACCTTTTTAGTCCTTTTGGGTCAGTTTTGCCCTCAGATAGGGTTGATGTTTTCTTGAATGCATAGGCAGCACTTGAGCGTTTTCCTCTCACACTCTGGGCTTCCTGTTCTCCTTCTCCTGAAGAATAACTAAGGTGACAAAGGTATCACACTTGAGGTAAGTACTTAAGACCCTGCTGGACATACCTTGAAGGGTCACCAGGCTGGTGACCAGCAACACCCACATCTTTTGCAAAAAGTGTGAACTGGGAACACCTTCACTATGGCTGGGCTCATGGTGTTGTTTTGGTTTTGGCCCCATCACTGTGTAGTTTCCTTTCTCTGGTTTAAAAGAAAATCAGTGGATCAGGGAAAGCGTTTCAGAAATCATCTGTGCCTCCTTTTGCATACTCTCAGAGGATCTCTTAAGATGTCCAAGGACAAATGGACTAATGGAACATGTGAAGATCAGTCTCCACAACTCTGATACCAGAAGAACTAGCTGGTACTTGGGCACCACTACCAACTGTCCTGAAAGGGATCACATTAGAGGGTCTTGGATAGAGTGGGAGAAAATGTGGAACAAAACTCAAAATTATTTAATCATAAAAATAATAAAAGACTGGGTTTACCGGTAAAAAAGAGACTGGAAGAACCTGAGGGAGAGAACTTACCCTTGTAGCCATGTAGTAGATAGGGTGGGGGGAGGGGGCGGGGAGGAGGGAGACACACCAACACTAGTAAGATGCTCACCACAGAATGGTCAATAATTCAAAATCAATCGGGCAACATATTCCTGAGGAAAATATTGAACGGAGGGGAAGATGGTTGAAATGCAAATAGAAACCACAGGGAGGAAGAAGGATAACTTGTTGCATGGAGAGGCTTGTAATAATTGAGATGAAACAAAGTGTATGAATTGTTAAATGTAAAACTGATGATCTTAAATCTTCAATTCATAATAAAAAGTTAAAAAAAAAATTTTTTTTTTTTTGTAAGATGCCCAAGGACACCTCCCAGCCTAAGTCAATGCCCAAGTTAGTATTTTTAACATTTGTAGGTGATGATGTGCATAAGCAGCAATCAATAAATATAGAATCTACTGTATGTCAGACTCTGGACATGCAAATAAGTTATTTTTTACAAAGATATTCTTGAAGGACTCTTGGTGTGGCACTGTGGGTTAATGCAGTGGCCTGCAAAGTCAACTTGAACCAGGAGGCCTGTGGTTCAAGCTCACCAGCTGTTCCTTGGAAACCCTATATAAGGTCGCTATGGGTTCAGAACCCAACTCAATGACACTTAACAACAATAATAAATATTCTTGAAGGACTCTAAAGTCTTGCAAATTGGTAGTTCTGACCCATAGTAACCCTGTGTGTATAGAGTCGACCTGCTCTGTAAGGACTTACAAGGCTGTGATCTTTTGGAACATTGCCAGGCCTGTCTCTCTAGGTGGCCCTGCATGGGTTCAAACTGCCAATCTGGCTAGTAGTCAAGCCGCCAAAAGAAGACAGCAAAAATGATGTCATTTGCAAGACCTAGGGACTCTTGGGCCCAGAGTCAGTGACATAGCCACAGAGGACTAGAGTGGAGAGTGAAGGGTCCAGCTGATAAGAACAGAGGGCATATGCATAAGAATATCCACCCTTGCAGATAATACCCACTTATCCTGGCTTCAGTGACTGGATGATCAGAGCTCAACCAGAAGTAAAAAGAAGAGGGAAAAAA